TATCCGGATTAACTTAAATAAAAATTAAATACATATTTTTTCTAAAATATCACCTCAGAAGAGTTTAAGCTTAAATTAGATGCGTTCCAGCGACTTAGGCTCCTTCTGCGAAATTTTCCTTCTGGCAAGTTAATGAAAACCGTCAAATGATCAACAGTTTTGTATTTGTAAACAAAAAATTTAAGCAGTGAGGAAAAGTATAAAAGGTATCTTTAGTGAAATGGAAATTAGCCATTTGGGGTCGTATTTGAAATTTCGTTGTACTGTCTTCATAAATTTTCAGCAAAATAATTATGGAAATATCAGTCAATTTTAAATCTAAAGACCGATACCCGGTTGCACCAATCAATTTCAAGGTTTAGAGTTTTTCGAAAAATTGCAATTTGAAAAGAAAGGACTCCCGATTTCGTAATTTAGAAAAAACCGTTAAAACGCTTATGTTGGCATAAAGTCATGACCAAAAATTAAAATAAAACTATTAACAGTGAAGATAGTTTTAATTAAGAAAAAGTTCACGTATTTTAACTTTTTTAATATTTTATTGTATTTTTTGTGCCATTTTTCGGATGTGAGTAGTGCTCTTGTTGCCGTAGCCGAGTGCTTACTGCCACTCAGGAGATCCATAGTTCAATTTCTGGTCCTAGTACCAAAAAAAATTTAATTTTTTTTAATAGCGGTGGTCCCTCGACAGAGACAATGACAAACCTTCGAGTGCACTTCGTCCCTTAAACTGGAAAAGCCTTAAAAACTTCGAGAAACTCAAAACTTTTATTGAGGGGTCAAAATTTGAAGGAATTGAAAAAAATTGGTTTGTTCGATCAAAAAATCCGGTTTATTCGATATTCGAGAAATCCAGATTTCCAAAAAACCGCCTATAGATATCAAAAAAAAAACGGTGGAAACCGATTTGGAAAAACCGAGTCAATCCCCCTAGTTTATATAATCGGTTTAAAAGTGTTTTTTTGCGTTCCAGCAATTTTTTCTTGAACCGCTTTTGTTATCCTCGCTTGAGAGCGCAATTTTGCTAGTTG